GCTATTGCAAATCTACTTTCTATTATATTAGGACCAAGGGAACATAAGGAAAAGAGAATTTATTAGGTGACTATCGGAATCAGCTGCAAGTGGTATATATATACTGTTTTTGTGACTTCTATGATTTCTGTGGCAATGGCCTTTGTGACGTACTCGGAAAAAAAGTTTGGATTATACTAGATTTGTATGCTTCAAAGCTATAGAAAACTCAAGTTAAGCTACTTAGAAGTGACAACAAACCATCGCATCATTATTCTTCTCATTTTCTTTGGCCAATTTGAAGCTTAAGATAGATAAATCCGTTTGTTTTCTCTGCACCGTGTACAGAAGGTTCTCTATCTTGCTCAAATCAGCTCTATTCCAAATTCTTTGTTACAGATGCTGCTAAATCTCCTTTATATACCGAGGTGTGCTTACATTCTCCAAGCAACTCTTGACTATTAGTAAAAATGCTTTTATCGAAAAGAGACCTACCTTTCAAAATAAGATGATTAGCAATTGAGCAATCGGAAAACGCCTATTTGTGAACTGACTCATTTACATGGCAGGTTGTTTAGGGTTGTTAAATCCTTAACCTTTTAATGTTCGTTGGAAATTTGTTACAGCAAGTGACGCACAATTTTCATATCGCTACAGTCTTTGATCTATTCGTGCTAATGGGAGCAAGGATTTGAGCTGCAATGAAAAATTTGAAACACGTTTTGGTTTTCATAGCTGCAAATTCTGAGCGGCATCAAAGAAATCACCTATAATCGCCTCTTCGGGGGCGTCGTGGCATTCAAAAATTGCGACGACTTCGTCGCTCGAGGTAGCCCAGGGCCCTAAGTCTCCTAGTGCCTGGAGATAGTTGCATGTGAAGACAGTTGCATTATTGTCTTGTTCAAAACAGTTTTCTATGCTATAAAATGGCAGCAGCAAGTCTTTCTCTTTGTTCAATTTCTCTACTGCATCAGTTAGTAAGAACTTCGCCCGTGTTCGTAAATTCTACATCATGCTCTGGACGGGCGTACGCACACGAACACACACACATACACACATACACACATGCACACATACACACATACACACAATTCTTGGAGGATAATTGCGTCTATATGCGAGGATATTTTAAGTCAAAATGTGTAGAATAAGAATGCATTTTCTTCAGAGAGCGAAAGCATTTATGAATGAAAGAGAAAGTGAGAAGAGCTTTCAATTAACTTACGGTATTAGTCACAATGAGAAGAGTTCGGGTAGCTGTTGCTTCATTGCTTTCACATCTTTCACTAAGTGATGCAAACTAATGTAAACATAAACCCACCCAGCAATTTCGATCAATCGCTCGAAGAGGGAAAATTGATAGCAATGATAGTAGCATCAATTACACGATTTTATAAAGAAAACTCTTTATTTCTTCATTGAAATGACAAAATTTGAGTTCATCATATGAACTTCCCGCTTTTTTCAAATTCGGGCATTTGGTCAACAAGTACACAAACATTATAGTGGCGACATCTCCACGTAACGAATGTAGCGCCATCAGCATGGATCTTTCAGATCAACTCCATGGGGGGGGGGGGTGTCATCATAGCCAGATTTGAAATGATCTTCGAAATTAAGTGGACGCTAGCGACATCTAGTAAGTAATCATTTCAGAACTGACTAAGACATTCGGTAGTGTATAGATTTCACGAGTGACAACAGTAGCATGAGGCCACTTAGAAGCAGGGGAGTCAGCGCATGCGTCGGCACCGATTCTCCAAGCTTAACAGCAGATATGTTTTCGATGATACCCTACTTGGTAGGAGCTATGCAAACAGCATCTAGAGCTATCGGTAAACCATGCGGTTAGAATCAATGCCTAAATTCAGCAAAGTACATAGGCGCGGCAAAAGAAGAAAACAAGAGTAAGTGCAGATAAACGATTAACCCTTACCTTAAATACCCTAATACCCTTACCTTAACCCTTAAATACCCTAATAAAATTCTAGGAACAAATGGACTAGAGAACATACAGTAATATCACAACGATGACAGACAGCGTCAAACTTAAAGGCACCGTCCACCCAAAATGGAGGTTGGCGAGATTATGATGTGTGGGCCCTCATACTAGACAAACCTACAAGCTTCGCCGCAAAAGACTGCTTCTGAAGCGAGAAATCCGCTCCGGAAGTAACAAAGTGGGCGGGGCGCCCCCGGCGGTCCACCCAACTCGGATTCAATGTTTTTGTCGCCTTCAGGCCTTCTGAAAGCCCTAATTTCGAATATGGAGTCGAAAATTCGCGAAACCCCCAAAAATCCCTGTTTCGAGAACCCTCTGCAACAAGTGCAGGCGAGATAAAGCATGCAAGTGGGCGGGGAGACCGGGGGCGCCCCGCCCACTTTTGTTACTTCCGTAGCGGATTTCTCGCTTTAGAAGCAGTCTTTCGCGGCGAAACTTGAGGGTTTGTTTAGTATGAGGGCCCACACTAGTATGCCATCATAATCTCGCCAACCTCCATTTTGGGTAGACGGTGCCTTTAAGTCATACACAAATCAGTGTGAAATCCATTCGATTAAGCCATAAAAGAATATAACAGATACAAAAAACGAGCAAAAACATAATGCAAAGCACGCATAATTGAGAAGTGGATAGAATGCATAGGCGGCTAGGACAAAGATTTTGTAGATTTATACATTAAGCGTCTTACTGCGTGCCACTGGGAAAGTTTGATGCTGACTGCTGTGATGCGAGCATTGAGCTCGCCCAGCGCCCCAGGTACGTGCCTTTCTCTTGCGCCTTAAGTAACTTCGATAAGATGTGTCAACATCACCAACCAATCAAAATCAACTGACTCATTGTGCTACTATAAAAAGTAAATGTCCCCATTTTATATGCAAAGCTGAATGTTTATGGGTTTATCTATCTGAATTACGCATGAATTTTTGTACGAATTTTCGCGAACTTTGAGTAAAATGGCTGGGAGCTGACACAGGGCTAACAAGGGAATGGTCAAAAGTCGAAGTGGCCAATCCCAGCAAGCTGTATACCGTTGAACATTCCATGGAGGGCTGGGTACATATCTGCCTTCACTATCTGCTTCTCGATCTCTACACAAAATTATGGCCCTCGATTCCGCCGTGGGGCCGCCGCGCATCATAAGTACTCCTCCGCCCATCTAGCGGTTAGATGGACTCGTAGCGCAATGGTAAATGTGCAGACTCATAGGATGACCTGCCTTTTTGCTTGCAAATTCGATTCCTTTTGCTTGCTACTCTTTTGCAACCCATTCCTAATATCTATATTACTAGCGCGAAGTCCTTAACGCAGTTAGAGAGGTAAGTGAACATTTAAAGACTTCCAAAAAAATTTTTTCTGTAATTTGAGAGTACGAGCCAATTCGGACAAAAATCATTATGAGCAATTATGGAAGGCAAAAACAAAATGCTGAAAGCATGGGAAGGATTCGCAGGAGGCACAACGTATAAAATGTATCTGTTGATTCAGTACAATTTTTGAGCCTTTTTTTAAAGCGCACTCAAGCTTTTTGACTGAAAGAATCTATCGCGTCAAGCCAAAAATTAGGTTTCTGTTCATCAATTTCAACTCCACATTTTTTGCTGCTTGCTTCTGTTCGTTCTTGCACCTATTCACCAATATTTTTATTCCTGCTTTCACCATGATCATCCTCAATCCTCAAGAGAGTTTATACGATAAAAGATTAATTTTTGAAAGTCTTGAGGTGTTAAATTACCTTTTCAAGTGCGTTAGAGACTTCGCGCTACCAATACAGATATTGGGAATGGGTTGCAAAAGAGTAGCAAGCAGAAGGAATCGAACTTGCAAGCAAAAAGGCAGGTCGTCCTATGAGTCTGCACACTTATCACTGCGCTATGAGTCCACCTAACCGCTAGATGGGCAGAGAAGTACTCATGATGCGCGGCGGCCCCACGGCGGAATCAGGGCCATAACTTTGTGTTGGAGACCGAGAAGCAGATAAACAAGGCAGATATGTTCCCAGCCCTCCATGGAGTGTTCAGCGATATAGGGCTTACTGGGATTGGCCACTTCGAATTTTGACCATTCCCTTGTAAGCTAGCATGCTGATTACGAACATGTTACCAGATTTCAAGATCATTGAACCTTCATCGAATTAATCGCCCTTTCGCAAACTATGAATTACGGAGCTGGATGTTGGCGTAGGAGGGGGGGTAGGTAATGGGCTGGGAGTTGTCAGAGGAGGAGGGGGTGTCTAAACATGATATTAACGGGATCGATATGGAAAACCCACTGCATCGATAGGTTTTAACAGTTTTACATCTTAAAGGCACCGTCCACCCAGATTCTCGACTTCCAGGTTTTTGGCGTTTCAGGGCTTTCTCATGTCCCTGATTCTGAATATGAGGTCGAGAATCCGCGAAAACCCCGTGATTCTCCGTTTTGGAGAACCCTTTCTGAGAAGGGTGGACGAGTACGATATCGCAGGCTCTCGGGGTTTGCTGTTATGCGTCATCTGAAAAGTCGTCGGGCGCAATTGCGCCGACACTCCTCATCGTCTTATTCTTTAGCTTCCAATGTTATTATTGCGTTATGCTTCTCTTATTCCTGCATCTTGATCTTCTTTTGTTTATTTTTTCCCTTCAGTGAGCCTTCCAAGTTGTTGTTATCAATTTACTGAATGTTGTCGCTGCTGATGAATTAGATGTTCGTGCCATGTTCTGGTTGTCAGCATCGCAAGAAAAGTTACCCTGGTATGTTGTGTTATAGAAATGACATAGCCTTCTTTTGTCCTACTTCTTTTTTATTGGCCTATGGTTTAGAGTTGTGTCTGTTTTGTATTTCAGCGCGAGATAGCTTTTTGTGCAACTAGAAATTCTTATAGCTGTCTCACTGACTTGTTCGCTGTACATGCCGAACGGTGGTGTACGCCTGCATCTTTTCATAGGTGAGTACGGGCGAAAGCCTATACATAGATTCTATTACTTCAGATTGCTTTACAATCAATTGTCTCAGAGTTTCCTTCATTGTGATTGGTTTTCAGATTGCTTTGTCACTTATGTCCGTTAGGCTTACGTTTTGCAGAAATACGAACTGGAGCGGACGCTTGTTTTTGCACAGGTACTGCAGTTATGGTAAATTTTGTAGCGGAATTTGCTATGTTTCTTAGGACGTGTTGCGGAATCATGCTGCCCCGCTTCACATACCTTCGATGAGATTTGGTTGCTGCAGAGTCGGGAGACTGCCACAAAGAATGCAATGGGCGTTTGCACACCAGCAAGGTTTGCGGGACATGAAAACATGTTCGTTGTCAATATAATCACCTCATTCAGTGATTGCTGTACATTCCAAAATGCCGAAATTGTTTGAGGGACACAATGACTATCAGTCTAAAAACCGACGGTCATCTGACGGTCACCATTACTTCTACTATTTCCTGTAACGTTCTCAACGAAATCTAATCGAGGTGTGTCTCAATTTTTTACTTGCTTTTGAGTTCTTTTCCACTTTTTTACGTTGATGTTTATGATTATATATACGTTTTACAATGATTACACATTGGTATGGCTACCGATTATGTCACAAGTTCTTCGTACTCCATATCCTGTTCATTAGTTGTTCGTTCGTTGTAGTGTGATAGGAAATCTATCCAGATTTCCTTACGCCAGATATGTTCAACAGGCGTCTTGCGTTCGATGTGACTCTCCCTTTCACTGAATTTTCGGTGGACTACGGTCACTCGTTGTACTACTCTTTCCCCATCCAATTCTGCTATTCGTAAGGCGTTTTTGTGCAGTGACGACAATTTCGCATAGAGCGAGTATGTGGATGATGGCCTAAAAATGGGGAAAATGGAATTGTTTTGGAGGACAGGGTTCTGCGTTGTGGTACTCACAGGTAGACTTCTTTTGGACCATAGATACGGTCCAGCGAGTTTTTGGACTCGCACTGGCTAGTCCCACCATAGGGACTAGCCAGTGCGATGTCTTTCTGGAACGCATCCTGGAGAATAACCTCTTTTAGCTTGTCGTGTGCTAAACTTCCCCAGGTAACATTTTCTCGGTCTTCAGGAAGTAGACCTTGGTGGTCACAATGGGTTATATCTCCTGTGAGGGTGTTCTGTAATAGAAGGTTAGAAGCGTCCGTGGTCGAGGTAGTATTTCACCTGAGGCCATCGATGTATGTCTGCCACGTGGTAGATGCACGTATTGAAGTAGTGCCTCACTACCTCTCCGCTGTTGTTTTGAGCACCTTGTTTTATAGAGTGGTAGAGATGGGCCTTTATATGGTCCTTCCAGTCGTGAATCGCCTCGCAATCCTTCCTCTTTCCGACCTAACTGTGTATTTCAGAGAGTGGGACCGAGATTTGCAATCTTACCGCTCGCAAAGTTTTATCTAGATACTTTGCTAGATGCCAAGGGTCCACATACCACCTGACCTGATCTCCATATTCAGCGTTGTAAGACTCAATCTCTGTCTTGAACGCGTAACTGCGATCTGTCGAGATCGAGTGAATTGGAATATTCATTGATCTAAACCATCGCAGTATGCGGTGGAAGCCGGCTTTCTCCATGCGTCCACTCTTACCACCTACAATATTAATTTGAGTTCCCGAGTGGGATGGGTTCTTCTCTGGCGCCACCTGTTTCTGACCGGTGCACAACTTCAGTATGCACGCATAGTCCAGTTTTCAGATCAATGGCGAGGACTTTGCAGAAGTCCGCACTGTGGCCTCTGCTGTCGTAAGCCCCGTCAATGGCTATATTCCATCCGGGCTGGACTTCATTCTGAACATGTGGCACAATGGAATCTTGTAGTTTGCTGGTTCGTCGTTTAGTTGGTTTACCTCATAAGCGTTCTTGATACGCACGATAGTTTGTGCTTCATGTTTGTCATAAACCGTTTCGATCGACGGTATTATTCTTCTGAAATTTTTGTAGAATGTCGTACTACACGGCAACAGCAGATTCATCTCTGATGCCCAGTTGTTCAGTTTCTGAACAGATTGAACTACAAAGGAAACAAGAGATAGTTGAATTTATTACAGTCCAACGCGCTCCTGTCGTTATCGCGGCTGCGCACGCTAGGGTCGTTCCGCTGTACAGCTTTTTGTGTACATCTTCTACAAGTTTTTCTTGGCCCTCCCACTTTTTCACTTCCGGTTTCGGCCCTTTGGTGACGTACTTGATGATTGGTATAGCGGCAGACGCGTGCACTTCCAGGCACACATCTCCGGGTTCGGTGCCATTGCTGCACCCGCACCTGCTGAGGTTGAAAAGCTCTAAGAGCTTTTTCCCTTGGACAATAAAATATTTGTCCAGCAGGGCGGGGTCAGTTTCTTCCAATTCGGGTGCCGCTTCGCTGTCAGATGTTGGCACCTTCCCGGGCGAAAAGTAGGAGCCGCTCTGAAATGAGCTGATTGAGGATTAGTGGATGGAGTCTGCTGGAATTGATGTCAGTATGCTTTCTAACCGCAGTCTTGTTCGATGATCCTGAATCTGTATGCTTCACACATGGTGTGCTAAGAAGGCTGCTAGCAGTTTTGGTTGGAGATCCTAAGTTCTGTGTTTCTGCAGAAAGTGCTTGCAGCATCTCATAATCCATGGAGAAGTCGAAGTTTTGAGTGCCTGATGTTCCGGCTTCCGTTATTGGTTGAATATCATATGACGCGTTCATAGCCTAAATCATCAGGGGGGGGGGGGAGAAGCACCTGTAGATAATCAGCTTCTGCCAGATTTGCGAGCTGAGGGATTTCCCATCTGCCCTCATGATAGTATTTCTTCAGTTGTCCGTTTAGGTAACGCATCAGATCATAGTTGGTGACTGTGATGTTGTTCTAGAAAATTTCATTGCTGCAGATTTTCTTCGTCTTCTACGCAAACTGACCGAAAAGGACTTTATGGCATCATTGACGCTTGCTAGAATATGCTCAGAAATTTCACTCTGATTGATGTATGAGACATGATCTAGCGTTTCGGACAGTCTTCCGCCGCTTGCAATCACTTCCGCGAGAATGTATTGCGTCTGGACAACAAATTACTGTACTTCTTTTTGAACTGCTGAAAGACCTACAGCGTCGGTGCAGTGCCTGATGCAATAGTATCTTCTACACGTGCTCATGGCTGCAAAGCACTCCACTTCGTTTGATATGATTGATGAGTACTTGTTCAATGCAGCCAGGAGTATCGCATTGTAGGTCTTGTTAGAGGACGAACGTGTCGTAAATTTTTCTTCGGTCTTGTTGCCACATAGAAAGCATGTGATAGGCATGGTTGATCGTAACAGAATCTGAAAATGTTGCTTCGATGGATTCGATATTATTCACTCAGAAATAGTGTTCCAGTGCAAAAATAGCACTTTTGCCTCATAGACGTTCGGATAAGACTGTTTATTTTTTTTGTTTACATATGATTGGTCAAGGCTATAGGCTATATATCATTTCTGATCTGTATGATATGAAAACGTCTTCTTGGGTCAGCAGAGCATCTTGGTCAACCACCACTTGCCACTGCAAAAACAACAACAGAGTCCGTATCTGGCCTGCACTTCACAATACAGAACATACCGAGATCCGTGAAAGTTTGACTTGTTTTAGATCTCCGTTGTCATTAACACAAGGCAAGAGCGACCATGACGCACAAGGAAATATTGCGAACTTGTGTATCCGCAGAGAGACATCTGGCATACACATAAACATACTCCATATCATTTTGCACTTTTTGTTTGTCAGTTTCAAGTAACTCAGCAAATTCTTTCTTTTTGCTATCTGAATGCTTTATTTGAACTTGTTTTCCACTTTGTATACCTTTTTTTGCCCCTTGATTCCCGCGACCTTCAAAAATTCTATTTCAGGCAACGGCTCCCTTTCTCATAGTCTTACAGAGAAGACTGCTTCATCAGATGTGGATCTTCTGCGATGCGATTGTGCACTTGAAAGAAAGACTTCAAACTCATATTTATAAAGCCATTCCTGTAACTACCAAATCGAAAAAGGAAAGAAATCACTGCAGCAGTGCTCGATCACACATATGTACAACATTGGTTAGATTATTTGATCAGTTTACAAAGAAATTTACGTGATGCGATGAGATCATTCATCTAGAATCAAAGAGGTAATAATAAATCTGTTTGACTACATCTGTTTCTTCTGCACACATCCATCTGCTCGACAGTATGCGGCACAAGGTATTGGATGTGGTCGCGTAATGCGCCCGCAATGACAGTATTGTTCTTACCTGAATATAAGGATTATTGAGTGGATGTTCAATCAATGAAGTTTATGTGAGCAATTCATTTCAGTGGAACTGGAGTTGTAGAAAGATTAGAAGAAAACATTTCTCACACATGTACGAAAACTTACTTGAAAACATCTCGGACATTGTCCAACATGACAGATGTGTTCACAAAAACGAAGACCACATGAGAGACATTTGTTGCAGATCTAAAAATAAGACAAGGTGCTAATTATAAAATTGACAAAACTATTTTGATGCTGAATGAGTCAAAAGAAGTTCAAAAAACATACTTGCATGCATATATGTTCGGTTTGTACAGCATTATTCTTGACATTTATGGATTCCACAAGATTTCCTTTTCTTGCAGCGTCTTTCACACAGAAACTGACTGCCTACATGGAACCCATTAGCAGTAATAACCAACACGTATAAACATCTGCTAGCAAAGCTCTAAATTTTCTAATATCGCTTCTTTTCCGTCTAGAAAAAAAATGAGAAGGGAAACGGCAACATAATATCAAGTCTCACTGGAAATCCACTCCGAAATGCACATGTATCCGCAAAAATTCAGATCCAAATCGTAGAAAATCCCCATGTTCAATCTCTTTTTCATCATTGGTCTAAAACACATCTTAAAAAAAAACCGTATTCATGAGAAATGATGAACTATTTGCAATCAAGCACTTTCATTGTACGTATAGCTAAGTAAGGTGAAAAAGTGATTTCTAGCAGGCATCAAAGCAAAGCAGGGTGGAACTATTCAAGTTTCAAAGTCAATGGACTCGAAATAACGTCAAGAGATAAAAACAGCGCGACATACATACCTTCAATTCATAATCGTTCAGGGCAACATGACATTTCTCTGTAATTTTCTCCTTAACATTTTTGCGCAGCGTCGACAGCGGCTCCCTCATCAAAAGAAGAGATTGTTTTCTAAACACAGTATGATTAGAAGTTCCTTGAGCGAGAACAATTACAAAAAACTACCTACCTTAGCTCGCTGAAAGCATCTGACGGTAATGTTGTGCTGGAACCTCAGCCAAACCTGCTTCCAGTAGACTGCCTCCTTGCACGACTGTTGTAACTTTATCAGGAAGGATTCATAAATACATCAAGAAGTACAAAAAACGCTCATATTTCGAGAAGCCAGTCGAGAATATGAGAGAATTTGCAAAATACTCGTACGGCATTTACCCCTACAAGACGCCACTTGACGGTCTCGCTGTAGTGCGCTTACACCCTGCGTGTCCGAGCGAAATCGACCGGATGGGCGGGCATGGATGGGGAGAGGTGGGCATGGATGGGGGTCCACGTGCATCTTTGCTATTCTGGAGCGATTTTTTCGCTTCCGAAGCGGCATTTTGCGGCGCGACTTGGGCATTGGCTCAATAGGGGGCCCTACTATTATATGCCGCTAAAAGCTCAACACCCTCAACTTAGGGTGGACGGTGCCTTTAAGGGGTAGGTAGCATGTTGATTACAAAAGCATAGAAAGGAACTGGCACATAAAAAGGACAGAGACGGGGATGTTGTTGGCAGAGAATAATGATTTTTATCGTAATGGTGTTGGCAGTTGAACGGAGCTGGATATGTTAGCAGAAGTTGTGAAACAGCTGAGAACTTGCAGAATTTTGCTGTAACTCCAAGCGATCCCTTTCGAACATGCAGAATTTGGAATGGGTATCGTAGCTTTACGCATTCACGACAGAATCGACTCGTAAAAAAAGGGAAAATGGCCTTTTTGCCAGCCAGTCTTCAGCAGCCACCCTGATGATTTGTTTTGTTACGGTTCAAAAGAATTTATTTCCTTAAATTTTATTCGCGTATAGCGAAAACTGTGAACATTTGCAGGCCTAAATTAGATGACCTCCACATCAAACTATTCAAAATTTGAATTTCTCCTTTGTTTGACCGGAATTATTAATTGTGTAAATTTGAGTAGACGGTATCGTAAATAAAAATTGTTGGACAATGGTAAAGATTACAAGTTTCAACAGAAAACTCATTTTCTCTTCTACGAAGAAAACGTTATAACTGTACCAAAAGCTGTGAATAGATGAAAGAAGCAAGTGTAGTGCAACGATATAAGGCTGGTTCAACACCCGAGCTCATGTGCCGGGTTAGTGTTCTAGCTATGGATGAGATGAGACATAGAAATGTTTTCGTGATAAAATTTTCATCTTGTGCGAGGTGAATAGTAAAGTGTTTCGCAACACTTACACTTTCAGACTTCTTTCTCTTCTCTTCTGATTGCTTTGCTGTTGAAAACATGTCAGCTTCTGCGTCATTATCCTCACCAGGACATGGGCTAAATCCCATAAGATCAGAAACTCTTAGCAAAATTGTTTATAATTTCAAGAAGGTAGTCAAATTTTATATATTCCTTTGTGTAGGACTGCTCTGTGGCGAATGCGAATCAAACACGTCAAATCCACGCTTACGACTAGCCTTTGCCTTATGATATCCGGCATCTTTGACCACCTAAGATGACCAGTGACATTTCTTGCAAAATGAAAGTTTTGTTTTTGTTTCTAACCTGCCGTGCCAATGGAAAGAGTTCATCACGTGTGGTAAGAAGTGAAGGCATTATCAAACATAACTGAGCGGCAGCTTCATTCACAGATACCTCGTGAAACGAAAGACCCTAGAAGGAAACGGTCACGGTAAACAAGGATTGAAAAAGTTTCTTTTCCAATATTTTTTGAAATAAAAGGTAGCTATCGCGCTACAAATCAACGAGAAGCAATTAACCTTGTCCGGTTTACTCTTGGCATCAAATCGCCCATAAATTGCCGAGTATTTGCGGTACTCGGCAAGACGATTAAGCGTGTCGGCAGAAGTAGAAAGAAGATCGAGCACCTTTCTAAAAAAAGCGCTATGAAAAAGGATTGAATCCAATTCCTAGAGGGTTGCGATAGTTTTCCAAGATTTCGACAAAACATTTTGCCAGGAATGATTCGTTGATGCAAATGTAAGCAAGAAAGACTCCATATGCTGAAACTTATGTGTAAATGGCTTTCAATGCAGTCGTTTTGCAGGAAAAGGAATTATCGCTTTTTTTATTTTCGTTCTTGTGCTTCTGACAGATGTACAAAGCTTCTCTTCACCAAGCAAATTGTGAAGGATATGATTTACAACAAATCTGATGCTCAGCATGATTTGCAACGAATGTATACAACAAACCCACTTTGAAACTCGCTTTTTATTTTGTACAAGATTTGGTGGAAGTCGTGGGATTTTTTGACATATCGCCATTGCGCAGTTGGAAAGGCGACGAATCTGCGCGTCGGACAGAACTGGCGAGTCGCATAAAGCAGCACCTAAGCAAAATTACACTAATCCAACTAATTACATTTACATTTTAAGCAGATCATATCATAGGAAATGTGCTTACTTGGAATAATCTCCCAGGGACACGAAGTTTCCTCCTACTGAAACAGAGCTGGACGACCTGAAGATGGAACAGTGATGTGCAGAGTTATGGTTTCGAAAAATTTGAAGCTTTTTGTGGTTTTTGCTGCTATGTTTGAAATAGCTTATTACTAGGTTGTTGCAAAAGTTCTGTCCGATTTTCAGTTGCCTTGCGTTCAAAGCAGCTATCTTCTAAGAGTTTCAATTCAACGCAGTTTAAGCCATGTGAAAGCGTTTTTCTTTTGCTCTTTCCACTGCTTATAAATCTCGATTGAATACGTTCACTACGAAATTTCAAGCTTTGAACAAGTTGCTAAAATACAGTAATTTTCAAGATGACTGTTTAAAAAGCGAATCTCTGTGGTGCACACAAAATTCCCTAAGTGAAATTTTATAGCGAGTGATGGTGTAAAAGAGTTTAGAGTTATTCACATAATTACTTTTGAAAAATTGCCTTGCTTCCCAATTTTGCCTTCAGAAATGTCTTCCCCTAGCTACTATACAAGAACAACAATCTAAAACAACGACAAGTGCTGTGATTCATATCGTATAGAGTGAGGCAGCAGGGACCATCAGCTATTTAGTTTTTTCGTCTGCGACCAGTTAAGAAAATCTGGCATCGTAAAGCCGACATAGCTGCGGAATTTTTTTATTCAAAATTTAGAATTAAGGCTACTTGATAATGGCTAAATGCGTCTGTCCATCCTTAGCGAGCATTGATACCAGATTGGAAATTCAAGAAAATTGCGAACTTTTTCAAACTTCCGCGCCTATCTTGCCCTATCAGTTTTATATGTCCTATTGCAATAACCAGAATCTCGCTCTAACAGGATTTTTCTGTTAAAAAAGTTTAATTCAAGTTGTAACATTCCGCCCCATAGTAAACCCCCTTGCAGAGCAACTCGGCTAAGACGAGATTCAGTTGAACTTATGGCACCTCAGTTCAGCTTTCAACGAGCTGTTGATTTGGATGCAGAACGTTTCGTAAACATAAGAATTTTGCGTGTTATCAAACAGTTACAGCGCTTAGCAAGATTGGCTAAATGGGTAGGTGATTGATTAGCCCGAATGACCTGTCTCGAGATTAGCTGACGGCAAATTCTTACTGCACCATCGGTCCCAAACGCAAATGAATGAACGCTATCAACGCTATCATCTATCGCCTATCAAATGAGATGACAAAACTACTATTTTCGACGAAAGTTGATGAACGAAATGGTTTGAAACACAAATCGATTAAAACAAATGCATAAATTTCCGTTCTAAGCAGCAAACCTACAAAACTGCAAAGTGAGAAGGAAACCCGTTTCCTTGTTGCCTCTGCGAAATTAGTTGTTTATTAACCCTCACCTTTTTAGGCCCCGATGTTGTGCAGTTTTGCGCGTTCTTGTACCGCAAAAGAATGTGAGCCTAGGTGTCTCGTAGTTTACTCAAGGGCAATTTACAGGAATTTCGGCCGATTCACCGCTTCTGCACACTTTTCTCATCACTTTAACTTACGAACTACCTTCAGCTTATTGGCAGTAGTTTGGAGTAACCGTAGCACTTAACTTCTTCTGACTGTTCAGCTTGCTGTTGAAGCATGGGAAGATGACACATGAGTTCAGCTTACAAAGTGCTTTTGATGAAATCGGAATATCAAGGACATGCTGCATACCAAAAGGTTCGCCTTGACGAGCTGAGCATGAAACTTTTTTCGGATTCAGAATACATTCATTTCGAAGGAAGTTATGACAAATAGAATTTAGAAACGCGTGATTTTTCCAGAATTCACCAACGCTTATGTTTCTCTGGAAAGAAATCCGTAACCATACTTTAGTGCGCTATAATTTACAAGAACCGTACTATCGAATATTACTTACTAGTATCTTTTATGTTAGATATGCGCCGCGTTACATCCTTGCAAACAGTCCTCCGCAGAAGGATTTGAGAAAACTGGAAACGGAATCGGATTCAGCATTTATTCATTCTGAATGGAGTTATTGCGTTGTGTAGTTTGCGTGATTCGCGTGATTCCGCGAAAATCCCGGAATGTCGAAAAACTCCCAGAACGTTGCGGACTTTAGCAACCTCCGGAATTTCACGACATACAAAGAAAATCTGCATTTTTGTTAGCTATTGTAGATAGCAAGAAATAGAGTACAGCATAGGAGAATTCAAAAAGACTTCGATACGGAGGCAACAGCCTATGTGCGCGCATCGTTCGCGGGCGTGTGGACTCTGACGGAAAGATGCTCGAGCAGGCGTTTGCGCCGTTTCTCTAGACCGATCACCTTTGCGGATCTGGATTTGTATATCATACGCAGGAAACAGAAGTGTTCAGCTTATCTTTGAAACTCCTGTTGACAGGCGACTCCGTTCATTCACAATTTATAGAGCGGTGAATTTTTTTGAAAGAGCATCTATCTACTGCACCGAATGCGCAATTGAACCGAAAAGCTTGTAGATCACATTCTATAGGAAATAGAGCGATAAAAACTCGCACAGCGTTTCCTAAAGTACATTCCTTACTGAATGTCAAAAATGATCCAATTTTGTGATATCATCAGTGATAAATGATAAAATGGTGATATCAATGACAACGACAGATAAGAATGGCTTGAATTCATGCGGTCGATTTCCACGTTCATTTTCCATATAGGTGCAGAATTTCAGCCCAGGCTTCGGCTTGAAGCGAGTTGAAGCAAAAATGCCATTCTAGGTAAGAATTGGCAGCAATGGCATGTGCCGATGAAAAATCGATCGATTGCTGCAGCGAGGGATCTACCAACTGCACCAAGCAATAGAACTAGAAAAGCCTGTAGATCACTTATAATGAGAGAAAGAGCGATAGAAATTCACACAGCTTTTCCTACAGTACTTTCCTTACCATATGCAAAAAATGATCCAAAAATGTGCTATTATCAGTGATAAATGATAAAATGCTTATATCAGTGATAAGGGTAAATAAAAACTGCCCAAATTTTCGCGATAGTTTTCGATAATGAAAACTTCGTACCAGAACCTGCTATTCGTGATTTACGCTGTGATAAATGTTCACAAAAGCCTTAACATAGAGAACAACAAGGTATCATTGTAAGTCTACCCCTCACCACGAATTACGGACATACTGTATATCAAACGATTCGTCTAATCAAGCTGAAGCCAAATCTATACGCAGATTGCAAATAAAATGGATTTAAAAGAAGTTATAGCTAAATCCCGCGAGTCCCGCAAATCCCGCGAATCCCGCAAATCCCGTGAAGTCGCGAATCCCGCAAACATCGCGAATTCCGAAAATCCCGCAATTTTGGACAAATTCCACGGTCACAACTGTATACTGTAAAATTATGTCACTCACTTTGAGTCGCGTGCCTCAAATTAATTGTTCAAACTTATTTGTATGACGTACAAACTTAAAATCACCTACGTATGTCGATACCGCCCGATAGTTAACCATTTTCTGCTTACGACATTTTTCAGTTTTATGTTCTGCATACTTTTTGGCAGCAAAAGAACGATAGTCATAGCATTTGTGAAAACTAGTGAAATTCAAGGTTTTGAGGGATTAAGAGTGAAAATAATGCCGGCACTACCCGTACCAGACACAGTGATAAGAAACAGCATTGCTAGAGATTGATTTACTTATTGTAATAGGGAACGAATTCAAGGAGAAATGTGGTCTGACGTTCTCAGGAAATGACTGTTCAAATCTTAAAGGACATCTATCAATGGAGCGAAACCTCAATTTTTATCATTTGCACCTGTTCAGCTTAAGATGCTCAACAGAGATATTATTTGCGTCTGTGTCAGAGTAATTTACTGGTCATACGAAGGAGACTTTTCTGCACAGTGAGGCAGAAATTGGGGCAATCCTATATTTTAAATACGGTAATTCTTACATTGGTAAAGATGCTTTCGTATTCTCACATGAACAGTTTGTTCAAAAAAAAAACATTAGTTTCATAAAAAGTTGACTACTTAATTAGTCTAACAAAGAAATTCGTTTTCAGAAGAACCATCTAAGTATTTGACTTGCCAAATGAACTTCAATTTACAAATTCAAGCAAAGTTATTGTCATAGTCTCTAGTAGCTGTAAGACCAGCTCACAACCAAAGTATCTGGAAGGCTCGAGACGTAGCATGCGGACAGCTCTCATGACGATGTTAGAGTCCTTTTTCTTATTTTCGTTCGGGCAAGCTTTCCTAACAGCACGAAATCTGATTACTGAAAATGTCTTTCAGTTCGAATTAGTTTCATCGTGTATTTTCAACAATTGCAGACCAAACCATCTAGGAAATTCTCAGAGATAAACAGAGTGAGAGCCAGAAATCAAAAAATGTCAAATTATCTTTATCGCGATCATCGCTTCACATCTTAAAGGTAGACACGCTTGCATGCTTTGCCTATGTTTTTTTCCGTGTATGTTTATGTTTGTATGCTCTGGTATGTTTTGTATTTCCAGCGAAATCGGATAATTCCACAACCCTTGCTAACTTGGTGCATTATAGTCACATTATAGTTACATTACAGTTATTCTTCTTGCTGCAATGGTCCTGAGCGGTGGCTTTATAACGTGCTCTCAATTGCTGCGTTGGCCTCAGTTGACTAAGAGCTCCACGTCATCCAGCTAAGCATATTTTGTTAACAACATTTGTTATTCAAACTTGTTTAGACCGAACCAAATCTTTCAAACTTGTTTGAACTGAACCAAATCTTGTACCCGCTTTTTTTCAAGTTGATTTGTCTTGCAATCAATACCTGTGTACAGTAGGTTGAATAGATCAAATGGCCAGGACGCGTTCATCAAAAACATCTGCCGCTCCACAACAAACTACTGCATCAAAATCGATTGAAATGCAAGACAATAGTGGGACCCATCAGGGCTACGCAAACATGTCGGTGCTAGAGCTCATTGCCTCCATTCAAGAGCGCAATAGAGATCCCTTGATAACCGAAATGCTCAGGGCTTTATCGAAGAAGGTTTCAAGGGATCTCTCCGAAATGGTGGAGTCAGAAAAGCGGTCACGGAGCCTAATGATCAGCGGAGTTGATGAGCCGCCGGAGGGATTGGGGTCATTGGCGCGCCGTAAGTATCTACAGGAGAAGGTCGACGCCATACTGGACGCCCATGTGGACTGTCCACCAACCGAGATGTTCTGGATGGGAAAGCCCAATCAATCCCGACGACGGCTCATCAAACTCGTGCTACCATCCACCTACTATTGGAAGCACGCCCTAGCAAACGCTCATACCCTTCATCGTTCGGACTTCATACGAAAGAGTATGACTGAGCAAGAACGCAAAACAGAGTTCGAACTCAGGCAAACGGCACGGGAGCGCAACAAAGGTAAAGCAACGAAGGAATGGGTCGTTTACCGGGGCCAACTCGCACGGGTATCTGATCTGAGGAATAAGAGGTCGGAAAACTTTTAAAATCGCACGGCACTCATAATCGCATTAATGCAGTTTTACTTAACGCCAGAAGTTTAGTCAAGAAATTAGACCAGCTACATGCATATTTATCTAATACTAAACCAGATATTGTTTTTATCACTGAAACTTGGTTTTCATCCAAAATTGTTGATGGAGAGATAGTAGGTGATTTGCCTTATATCGTATATCGAGTCAATAGAAGCAATCGGAAAGGAGGTGGTGTATGCATCCTTATCTACGGTACACTGATCTGCCAAAGAACTGAAATTCCTACCACCACTAAAGCTAATATATTGAGCATTGATTTATTTTCTCAAACAAAGCCTATCAAAACCAGATTAATATTAGTTTATCGACCTCCAAACTCTCAGATGACAGATGATGATTGCCTTATACAGTTGCTGACAGGGCTAGCCACTGATAGCTCGAGCACGCTAATGGTAGGGGACTTCAATCTACAAGTAGACTGGGATCATACTTCACCAAAGAATAACACATCCGCTAGATTTTTGGAATTTTTTGCTGAAGTGGGTTTTGAACAACATGTGAAAAAGCCAACTCATAAAGCAAATATCTTAGATCTAATCTTATCTTCATCTCCGATTGTATCAGCAGTAATTTGGCACCTCTGGCAACTTCTGATCACTCTATGATTGAATTTGCCTTAAATGAAACTTCTTGTAGTCCAGCTCTTGTTCCTATGCCTGATTTTCTTCATGCTGACTTATCTTCTCTAAACTGCTATCTTCAAGGGGTTGATTGGTTTACGGTATTTAATCAGTACACTACAATAGATAATGTATATCAAAGGTTTAGCAAAGTCATCTACGCAGCCCTTAAAATTTCTGTACCTTTTAAAATTCCCTTCTATTCACAAACCAGATATCCCAGACAAATCACTAATCAGTTAAGTCAAAAAACGTCGTCTCTTTCATAGCCTGAATTATCCACAAACGAATGCAATGTACAAGAAAATATGCTGTGATCTAGACTTTCATTTGAAAAAATATCTTGCAAATCGAGAGTTGAAATTAGCGTCTAAAGCTAGTTCGAAGTATTTCTTTCAATACATCAACAGAAAGTTGAGAAAGAATTCTGGACTGCCGATTATCAAAGATTTGTGTGGTATTAGTCACAGCGTAAATGCTGACAAAGCTAATGCTCTTGCAAATTATTTCATCAATGTTTTTTCCATTGATGAATCTATGATCCCACATGGTCCATTGAACTGTGTCTCATTAAGACATTCTCTAAATGATGTTCATTTCATCCCATCTGAAATTAAGAGAATTCTAAAGAATTTGAAACCATCCATCTCAGAACCTTTTGATGGAATACCCCAAATCGTCTATAGGGAATGCGCCGATTCCATTTACAAACCTTTGGCATACATCTTCAATCTTTCCATGTCTTTTGGGGCTGTACCTGAGATATGGAAAGAAGCATTAGTCACCCCAATTCCAAAAACCTCTGGTGCTGAATTGGTGTCAGACTTCCGCCCGATTAGCATGACCCCTTCTTCAGTCAAGTATGCAGAAGATTCTGCGTGAAAAACTCACCTCTTGGTTGACAAGATCGGGGATAATACCCAAAGAACAGCATGGTTTGTCGAAGGTGCAAGTACAACAACTAACCTTGCCGACAGCCTTTTCGACTGGGCTATGGCAGTAAACAAAGGGTAATTTGTGGACATTATCTTTGATCTATCCAAAGCTTTTGATAGAGTCTGCCACGATAAGCTCATCGAGAAATAAAAGAGTTATGGCATTGGGGGGAATCTACTTTGCTGGTTTGAGTCATATTTACGGAACAGGCATATGACCGTGAAAGTTGGCTACGATTATTCTGAAAGACATCCGTGTCCGAGTGGCGTACCTCAAGGAGGGGCGCTGTCTCCTCTTTTATTTCTAATTTACACCATGGATTTACCTAACATTCTAAGAACATCATCATCTATTAAAGTACAAATGTACGCCGACGATATTAAGATTTACGGCATATTGACTCATCCAATTATGATAAAACATGGCACTCATGAAATCAATTGAGAATATGCTAAGTTGGTCTAGGCAGTGGAACCTTCCCCTTAACCTCGACAAATGTTCGGTCATGCACATCGGGCGGAGTAGATCAATTACATATGAAATCAACGGAGTTACACTCAAACAATGTTTTCCAGCTAAAGATTTGGGTGTTATTCTTGACCTCTGCCTCAATTTTGCAACGCATATAGAATTTGTGGTTAAAAAAGCATATAATGTCCTTTATGCTATTCTTAGAAGCGTTCATTACCAGAATCCGAAGATCCTCAAATGCTTGTATAGAACATATGTCCTACCGAACCTTGAATACTGCTCTCAGATATGGAGCCCATATCGGAAGAAAGAAATTAAAAAAATAGAAAAAGTACAACAAACTTTCACACGTTTGCTTTATCTTAGATGCTCCAAAAACAAAAATCTGAAAGATATTCTTTGCTACAACGATCGTCTGAAATTGTATGGAATGAGAAGCTTGGAGCACCGCAGAAAATTGTCCGACTTAATCTTTTGTTTTCGAATTTTATGTAAAGAGTTTATTCTCTCAGCTAGCAAGTATTGGACCTTCATTCCTGCTAGTGTACGCTCTTACTCCTTTAATCTACACTATTCCCCAATAAAAAGAAGAAGGTTTTTGCTGGCCTACAACAACTTATTTTATCGTGGAGCACGAATTACAACATCTACCTTCTGATATTTTGCGATCGTCTAGCAGTGCCTCCTTCAAGTCAAAACTGGAGAAAGTTGATTTACAGGATCTTGCTTACCTTTATGGTTGAATTCATTTTATTAAGAACCTTCTTTCAGTCACCATCCTTGTTCTATCGCGTTGCCTTACACGTTGAAGGTTGGATGCATGAATGCTGAGTCTCCAAAAATTCACTACGTTCTTCTACTATCGCGTTTGTCAGATGCTCCTTCAAACTAGCTACAGCTCGAATAACAATTTTACCACTATGACTACCGACATCTATTTTGCCATGA